TTTTTTGTATCCAGCCTTCTGCAGATGGTTCAAAATGGTTTGGTGACTAACTCCCATCTCCTGGGCGATGTCGCGAGATGCCATATGCCGGTCTAACTCGATGTATGCCATAATTTGATCGGTATTTGTCGTCACAGGTCTCCCGCCGGCTGGCTTATCCATGGTGTCGTTTTCACCGGCTCTGAATCGTCGAAACCATTTCTCCGCGATTCGAAGTGTTAGAGTACCATCCCCCAAAACACCATTAATCTCACGGAACGTTTCTCTAGCGGATTTGAGTTTAACGAAGGAAAACTTTAAAATAGTGCGAATTCCGGCGTTAGTGAACTTCATGTTTACACGTTTATAACTGTTGAACGCAATATCCAAACTAATCGTGCATAGCGTTGTTTTGTAGGTTACGTCAAGACCTTTCAAATTATGTATAGTGTTGCCAGATACGAGCTCTGTGGCGCTTTGTACATAGCCGCGAAATTCAAAATACAAAAAAGCGGAAGGGAGATATTTGACAACCTAATATATACAGAATATTTAACAGATTATTCGAATAAATATGCATTAAATAGCTTTCGTGAAAAGTTTTCGCCTCGATTTGGAATTTACTTTTTTATAATGCAATTAATTTGAGAAAGGAAAAAAGTTCCTTTATATCAAATAAAAAATTACTGGTATTTTTCACTTACAAACACGAGTGTGTGGGTTTTCATTGAACAAGCTTGTTTCACGGCCATGCCAAGGAGTGACTTAATTATCAGCCCATACCAAACATGTTTTCAAAAGCATTCTTCTTTGCATATTTCGTATTGTAGCGATAAGTTGATTGAGAAAAATGGTGCGACATTGTGCGGTGAAATATCATTTACACACTTGCACTTCACTTTTTTGAAACCTTCGAATAGCAGAATAGCGTCAGGACAATGAGAGTGTCAGGGACCATAACCACAGGACATGTATGCATTTGTACATACAACTCATGTTAACCACCACACACACCACTGTACAGAACCCTTCCAACTTGTTCACCCCTCCTCGGCTTCTTTGCCTTTCAATCGCACTTACGTTAACACACTCGCCATCCGTACATCCGTACTGCGCTAGCGTGTTTTCGCAAAAGACTTCGCTCATAAAAATCCTTTCTATTACCCGGTTTTGTGTGCAGCGTTTTACCAGTCATATAAAATTCGATACACGAGTATGTGTACGAGTATTAACCGGAACTCCGCCACAAACGTCCTCCTCTCTTAGTTTTCACCCAGGAAAGCGACAGAAATGCAAGATTGCGGACATGTTTAAGTTGAAAAATGTCTTGTATTAACGGATGTATCACTATTCCTTAAGTATAAATGTGCACATATGATCGCATATACGTAAATGTAAGTACGAGAGCTGACATTTTATTCACACACACATACATGCATACGTGTATATTGTTATGATAGCAAAATGTATTGTTTTCTTGCTTTACTTCATTGAACGTTCTTTTCGCTTATTTAGCCTTCTTGTCTGCCGTTTCGTTGCTGCCATTGTATTCCATATTCACGCACTTGAGTTGTTGCTTAACAGCGTTGCATTGTTGCTGGATGTCGCCCGGCTCTTAATGTAATTAACACGTTCAGGAAGCGCTGAGTACTAAGTGTACACATAAAAGCGAAAAACTGCATTCTTTTAAATGCGCTGACAACGAATACATCTGAGCATATACATATGTAGTGTATGTATGTATTTACGCCTTATGATCGTAAACCATAAAATTGTATGACACAATACACCTGCACACTTGCATACATATCTACGTAATATCAACTATGCGGGTCACAACTCTTTACGTGATGACAGACAACAGAAAATCTGTTTTTTAATGAATCTTCTTCTGATCCACTTGTTTACATAAAAATTTGTACAAAATTTAAACATTTCCATTCATCGGTGCGCCTCTCAATAACCAAGATTTTAATTACTTTGTTCGTTACTCCGAAAATAAAACTAAAAATTTGTAAAAACCGAATAAAAATTAATTTGGTCATTCACAAATAAAGAAGAGAGATGCTTAAGAGTTGAGATACAGAATACAAACAAATACATACATATGTAAGCATTATTAATTCCATATCCCAATATAAAGGGTGTCCCACAATTAACGCGGGAGTGGAATTAAATAGGAAACACAGTTTTTAGTCTTTCGATTGGAATTTTTTTATAGAATCATATGGTACATGGGATATGACTAGTTTGTCGAATATTTTCATCACTATTCTGGAAAAATATTTCTCAGAAGCTAAACTAAAAATGCATAATTGCGTCCGACTATTTTGCTCGAAAAATCAGCACCAATTTTTATTGCTGCCCAATAATTCAACCAAGATAACATGATAAACCATTTTTGTAGTTTTATCCCGTTAGCTATTCCATGTAAATTTCCCCATCTGTGGAGTCTATAAAAGGCCAATGTTGCCTAACAAACGCTCTCCTCTTTCATATCGATCTGCATATCAGCGGCATCAAGGTGAGTCTCTCCTCTTTCTTCTAAATATTTTTGAAATCATAATTTATTGTATATATCATAAAATATAAAAGAAAATATTTAATAATAACAAAAAAGGCTAACTTTTTGGTACACCCTCTTGAAGAAGGAGTAGGTTTTTTCCAGTTTTTGTTACAGATTGGATTACTTGTGGAAGTACGATTTCGTTTTTCCATAATTCCCGTTTTTTCATAATTCAGGAGGAATTCTGAACCCTATCAGCTCCAAAACAGTGGACCTGGTCATTAGGTTTAACTTGTTGTGTTAATTAGGTCTATTAAGCATGGGGGTACATATTTTTAGTGAGTATACGCTTTAGAGAGCTTCTTGAGGTTTGGCATTCTTCGCTGTTCCTGGATTGCCACCACTGCTTTGATATTGTTATTTGAATATCTAGACACTAACGCACATTGTTAATCATTATATTACCACGTCTTGTTTTCCTGAGCATTGGGGAATTGGCACTGTCCTACCTGTCGCTAAAAAGAACCATCCTTGTAGTCCGTCTGATTTCCGACCAATCAGCTTCCTCCCTATATTGTCTAAAGTTTTTGAGACGCTTTTGACTAAGCAAATAAACGAATTTCTAAGCAAGCACAACTTAATATCTCCGTTTCAATCAGGCTTCAAAAACCACAGCCATAGTACTGCGGTACTAAATATCACATGATGACATTCGATCCAACATGGATCAAAATAAATTCACCCTGCTTGCTTACTTGACTTTTCAAAAGAGTTTGATATGGCCAACCAAGAGTTATTAAACTGTAAGTTAGTTGAAAGCGTACTATGGTTTGAGTTGTAGTGCTTTAAAGTTAGTGAAAAGCTACCTTGTTGACAGGTTTTAGTTAGTAAAAATTGGGGAAGATACACCGCAACTCAAGTCAGTTACTTCAGGGGTGCCTCAAGGCTCGATCCTTGGTCCCCTGCTTTTCAGCATATTTTTTAATGACATCTTTAGTGTGCTAGAAAACTGACAAATCTGGAGTTTTTGTCCCCAATACTCATAGACTCAGCAAGATTAAAAACTTAGGATACATTATTAACCATAATCTTACATACCCGTATCATGCAAATTCCATAGTTATTAAGGTCTACCTCATTCTGAGGAATCTTAGGCAGTCAGCTGTCTATACACCCACTGCTACCAGACACTGACTTGCTATATAAATTATTCTTCCAGTTATCATGTACTCTGAAGTCGTAACAGCAAACATGACAGTGTGTCTGCTCGTAAAATTGACGTTATGTTTAATAATGTCACACGGTATGTTTTTGGTCTTTCCAAATATAAATCACATCTCGTCTATAGAAAGATCAGATATTGGGATGTACGATTGCTGACTATCATAAAGCGAGAAATTGTATTTTTCTTTCCAAACTCATTATGACTCAATCTCCTAGCTATCTTTTTTCCAAGTTGACGTTAACGCGGCCCGCCAGAGTAGTTAGTAGCAATCTTCAAGGCTGTTCTTTGCCAATGCTAGTCGATTACGGAACTCTCTTTTTGCTAATTTAAGGAAGAAATTAAATAGAAGCAATTTCAAGAACCACATACGAGTATATTATTTTTGCATTTTAAAGGCCAAATTCCAACATGGATCGACCATTGTTATTATTTCTGTTAACGTGTCTGTAAAGTAATATTTACTTAATCTTCATATTATCTCTTTGACTAAACAAGATATGGAAATCTTATTGTACTAATGCTTTTTTATTCTTATTAAACAAATAAATAAATAAATATTCATAACTACAAATTTTTGGACGATCAGTGTGTTTGGCGTCTCCAACGGATCCTGTCTGTCGGAATCTTTCATTTAATCTTTTCGCAGTTAACAAAGTTAAAACATTATTTCTTATTTGTTTCATGAGTCTGCTCAACCTTTTTTCGGAGAGTAACTTAGAGCAGCGACCGCGGTAGCCGAGTGGTTAGAATTGCGCACTGCCATTCGGAAGGCTCGGGTTTAAATCCTGGTGTCGTAGTGACATCCAAAAACACTTATAGGAATTATTTTAAATAAATAAATAATATCGGCAGGGAATGGGGGTGGACATCCGAGTGTATTTCAGACATGAAATAAAGGCTCCTCGTAAAAAAAAAAAAACATCAGCCGTTCGAAGGCGACTTAGTATAAACTGTAGGTCCCTCCATTTGTTGGAAAAACAGCAAGACGCAAAACCGTTTGAGGAGGAGCTCGGCTGAAAAGCGCTTAGGCGGTTACAAAGTGCCAATTATATATTTACATATATATATATATATATAGCAATATATAATTTTTTGGCAGACGCGATTATAAAACAAAAAAATAGCAGAATGTGATAACTTAAATACAAGTGAAAATATTTTATGATATTACTGCTTCGAGTTACTCTAACTTGTTCTATTGTTTTTTTTTTTGTTTTTTTTTTTTTTGTTTTTTTACTCTACTCTATTTTCAGTCTCAGTAAACATTTGTATTTTGTAAGAAATTTTCGAACTGCGACGCCAAGCTTTCATTATTTTTTGAATATACATAGTTCAATAAGGAAGACACGAGCCTGAACACGCTGTCAGCTGTCGATGTATTTTTATTATATTTTACATATATACATAAATGGCGTCAAACTTAAATCTTCCGTTAATTTTGGGACACCCTGTATAATCAAGCTAACAATGCGAGTATTACTTGTATATGAATTCCACAACTGAATATTTTATTGAGCTTTTAATGAAAAAATTATAGCAAATCAGAAATCGAAAGAAATCAGCTGACATTTATTCGCTGAATTAAGGAAAATAACTTAACAATGATGTTCGAATCTTGTGCAATAAAAGTTCTTAGAGGTCGGAATATGAAGGTCGAATAAATCAAGTTTGCGCAATACGATAACCAATGGTTTTTGGTCTAAGGTATAAATTCTTTATGGCACATTCATAACTACAAATTTATATTTCCACATTGTTTACTTAATTTTATCTTAAAATCGGTCAATTGTCTTCTTTTAATTTTCAGGTAAGGCTTGATTGATTTCCCTAGTTTCAAAAATCGTGTTATATTTTTTCGGCAAGAAAGAAAAGGGGAAAAAATTATGGTAAGCTGTTCAAATTAAAATATTGTAATTAATACTATATTTAAACTTACTATAACGTAATACTATATTAAGTTTACTATAAATCTAAAGTAGTTTTAAATAATTAATTATTTACTACAGACAAACCTTAATCTAAATTTAAAATTGCTAAAAAAAAACTTTTTTACATTTAAAATACATTTTTATTGAATCACTAAGCACATTTTCCGCACAGCCAGTGAAACTCGGTTTGATAGTATCTGAAAAGTGTCCCTGAAGAGTTGGAATGGGATTTTAGATACATTTATCAAATCTTCAATGTTAGTAAAATTAGCGTGATTGTCTTCCTGGGAAGAGTAGGAATATCTTCTTAAGATATATAAGCCACAAGCAAGCCACACAGGCAAGAGTAAGATCCTGTTTTTGAACCTTGACCCCAGCGGCTTAGTAGGGTGTTTTTGGAACACTCAACTGTCTCATCAAATCATTCGATCGTCCAGAGAAAACAATATTAAAATGCTCTCGTCCTCAAATTCAAAACATAACTAGTTCAAGTACTGAACTTGGAATCTCTTCCAAGATGGCAGTATTTTGGTAACTAATATTCCGATTCTATTTAGATTCTTTTGCTCACGTCATAGAGACACTATCGTAGCTTGCACATACAGGTTATAACATTTTTAGATTACAACTACAACATCATAGTGTAGCAAATGAAGAAACTCCCAAACTGGCTTTGACAGTTCTCGACGCAGTACTTACACTGCTGAAAAGAGTAGGCTCTACTTTATGTCACCGATGGGACATATTGTTAATTCTTCTATATTCGCGTAAGCGGTGTCTACTCCAATAAAGTAGAAAAGGGAGAAGAACGCTTAAATAAATAAAAATCGGTCGACCAGTGAAAATTGAGCAGAAGAACGAGCGAGTTGGTATACATTGTTTTTACTTAAAGTATCAAAAACTGAATTTAATTTAATTTTTTTTAACGAACCCATGTCCTTCTACTTGCAATTGCTTTAATAAATATTCGGGAATTAATGACTTCTAATATATCTATATGTAAGAATAAGTGTGCCCATGTAAGTATCAAAATAAGATTGCCTTGATTAAAGCTTTAAAATCCACCTTTTGCTATACGAGTATATACCGTTTATGCGTTCTTATTTTTCAAATTATAATTTTATGATACGCACTTTTTCTCATTTTACCTTGCACTACCACCTGACCGCTATCGGCAATGTTTGCTGTTTACTTACGGTTTGCACTGCTCGCCACTTCCGTTTCCACTCAACCGACATTTCTCAGATTGCTTGCTTGTTCCAAGGAGATCATAAAAAATGCATATCAACAATCAGAGTGTGCTAAAGAAAATTAAAGAAGTAAGGAAATAAAGAATATGCGAAATTGCAACAAGAAGATTAAAATAACATAAAACGATTATATATACTTAAATTATATATACGGGTATGTATGTATTCCACATAAATATCTGTATTAGAAAAAACAATTTTTTTTACTATTGTGCTGCTAGCAAATTGAGGTTCTGCATAAATCTTTAAGAAACATCTTCAATGGAGAATAGCTCTAAGTATTCTCCTTTAAATTAAGTCAGTGCTTCATTTGTTTCTGACATCAATCAGGGAGAACAGTAGATCCTTTTGTGAGCAAGCTCAATCAATGTAAGCTATTGGTAATTAAAATGAAGAAAGGAACCGAGCCTTTTGTATTGCTTAAGATCTGTTTCTCGTTTAAGACTTCAACAGTAGCCTTCTTCCTAAAATGGTTTGTAGGGTCGCTCTTATGTAAAAAGTTGTTTTTGATAAATTATTTTTATTTGCTAAAATAGTGTTTCTAATGTTTATTTGTTATTTATTTTCAATTATTGGAGATAGTAATTGAATAACCGCTATATTTTTTTATTTCATGGGAGAAATAATTGAAAAAAATTCAACTTTTGCTGAAATAAATCGTCTTTCAATATTTTTTTTATGTCGTACCGTTTTTGAAAACTTACGATACGTCTACAGAAAATTTATTTGAGAACTAAAAAAAACATTCCTGCAAATTCAAGTAAAGAATAGTTTGAATATTGTGTGCCGTTCAAGCTAATAATTTTTTTCTCCATACGCTATTATTAATGCTCATAAGTACACTCGATGCACTCACAAAAGTCATCTTTGGTCACATCGACCTTTTCTTCCGTAGGGGCATAGGCGCAAAACAGAGTTGTGTTAACAAAGTTCGTTTTGATCCGTATTGTGGCTAGATATTCATCCACCAGAGAGAATTCTAGTACTCGCTTCTTTATATGGCGGCTGTAGAATATTTCACAAGGTTCCACCTCCACCTTCTTCCATCCTTGTCTCGCCCATCACACTTCTTGGACGGCAGTGATGTCAGCCTTTATTCTTACGAGGGCATCAACCAGCTTAGCAGCGGCACCTTCCAAATTAAGAGACCGGACATTCCAGGTGCCAGATTGGTTTTTCATCTTCTCACTTTAGCTCGTCACCAAACGTAAGTTTGTTGGCTACCCAGAGGATACTTGGTCTTAGACTGGAAGTCATCAGCTGCTTGAACCAATGCAATAGAATCTTTTCTGGCTACTTCCAGGTGAATGGTAATTAAAAACTTTCATCACTTGCGTGAACTTTTCCCCATCTGTATAATTTAGTCTCCTAAAAAGTAACCCATTTTTTTGCCTTAAATTGAAAACTTAATTTCCCATAGCTACAATTATCGGATTTATACCTCTCTAATAGAAACGCTTGGCGAAAATTCGGGTCAATCGATTTTCCCAGGCTTCTCTTTAAGCCGATTCTTCACCAGCCAAATCATTTATAGGATAGATGGTAACCACTTATGGTCCGGACCATAAAGTGGATGTGTAAGAACCTGTCGTCCAAGCTTTCGGTGCTTTTGACAAATCACAATCGTTGTGTGGGGTCTGGCGTTGTCCTAATGAAACATTTCCCCTCCTTTTGGCCAGAGCTGGGTGCTTCAGGACGGTTACTTCTTTGAGGCGATCCAAATGCTAACAGTACAGATTTAAACTAAGGATTTCGCCGTACAAGAGCAGCTCGTAGTGGATGATTCTCAACAATTAGCAAACACACAACAAAACCTTCGAGGCCGTCAAGCCTGACTTGGAGATAATTTGTGTCGGCTAATTGCCCTTCGACCACGAATCTCTTTATTTCATGTTGCTATAAGTGATCCACTTTTTAGTCTGTCGATTTTGTTGACATTCAGCAGCAATTTAAGGGTGGAAATTCATTCCATGAGGTTAAAATTGACTACTCAAGTTTATTGCTCAAAACCGACTGAGGACTAAAATACAAACGTTCTTATATCTAAGCTAGCCCTGACCTGTAATCGCTGAGGCAGTATTTATATTGAAGGATAGTATTTCGGTTTTGGTGCATGGGACTTCGGTGGCAACATAACCGTGTGTATAGCTGATCACGCACAGGTGTGTGTAAATTGCATAATCAGCGGATAAATGACTCATGCCTGGCCGTACTTACATGTAAGATGAGTTAATGCAGAATCGAGATTAGCTTATACTAATGCGTCGAGAAATCTTTCCATTTTTTTAGTAGCATTTTATTCTATAAATTAAAAGGAAAAAAGGTTATAGACAGAATTTAATGTAGTTTGACAATAAATGATAGAGTTTATAAAATATTGGATCCACTAATTCCTTGAAACCCGAAAACCAAAGAAATTTAGTATTATAAGGGCTTAATGCACGCAATGGTCGAAGAAATAGTGAAAATTTTAATTTTTGACAAAAGGGCGGCTTCAAAAAGATATAAATTTTTTTTTGAGAAATTCTACACTTCCAAGTGGCTTAAAAAGTTCGTGTGACTTACATTGAATCATCTGTAGAGGAATCCTCTGATTTTTCGTTTGTCTCTAAAATAAAATAACGAGACATTCTCCCCTCACTCCCTTGCGCTCTTGCTTCTGAAATGGAGGTGAGTTCTGTTTCTTATTTTCACTCGTAGGAATGATTATTAGATCGGAATGATAATCCGAATGTATGCATATAATGAATAAGAGATGTTTTTGCTACATTGAAAATCCCGACTGCAAGATTAGTAGATATTTCAACGATCTTTGAACCACATGAGATTATTTTTGGAGTTGTTTCCCATATTAGCTGATTGCAACTGTTATTGTTATTTTGCGTGAAACCACCAACGCATCATTCCAGTAATTTCTTATGTTTATAGCTAGACAAAGTGTTCAAGGCTCGTAGAAGATCACTTTCAATTGACGAAACTTACTTATATACAACCCATACGAAGGCATAGCGGAGACGAGACAGGTTTCGAACGCCACGAGACGGCCTTAATAATACAATCATATCTCCGAGACTGTTTGTAGAATTAACTTCATTTTTCGGAAATATTCTCTAATATACACGTATGTATGTGCATCCGAAAAAATATAAAAAAAAATATTTTCTTGTAAATAATAAATGGATTTAGGCTACTCCTAAATGATTACTTTTACGCTCGATTTATGCCAATCATCCATGGCTAAATTAGAAATATGCGCAATGTTCAATGTACAGCTGATACTGGGTTTGGTGGGATTTGAACTATTCGCCTAAAGTAAAGCACAAAACGACAGGCGGGCATTCGTATATCCTATTGTTGTGCGCAATACTACTAATGAGGTGGGCGAGATTCAAGGAGTCCTTATTTGAATGCCGATTGGGCAGTGGCTTGTTAGCAGCGGATCCTTAAGCAATTTACTACCGTAAACTAGATGTTTCAATGATGGATCTCCTTACACACAGTTAGAGTAGAACTCAATACAAGTCTT